ATATTTCAAAATGGTTCTGGATTTACCTTAATACTAAACTTAACAATACTAACACTTTGTATTGTACATACCTATTCCTACCGTAGCTAGTCAATTGGTTATAAAACAAAGGTGAATAAGGTAAACAATCAATTTTTCTTAGTGAAAGCAGAAGTAAAAGGAAACAGAAGAATTGAAAGAACTGATTAATGGTAACATAAGAATTGAGATAGAGTGAAATGGACGAAAGAACTAAAAAGAATGTTTAATCAAATTTTAATACCGATCATTTAATCGGTCGCGGTACGTTTAGTGTTAAATTCCTATGCATTCGATAAAATATCATTGCTTTCGGTAACCGTGTCACACGTGTGTCGAAGTACCGATTATTGAAATTCCGAAAATTGATGTGGAATTTCCAGGTTGAGAACTCCTGCTTCGATCGTACACTTCCAATGAACTCGAAACTTTTTCCTCTGATGAACTTTTTTTTAGTCGCGAGGTGACTCGAGTGGTTAATAATAATTCAACGCGTGTAAAATTAATCAGTTTCGATCTCCGGGCATCCTGAATCGACGAAAAATGAGGAAAACGGAAATCGCGCATGGTTCGACGTAACCAGGGACAATTTGCACGGAACGGTACACCCGTTGATCGCTTTTAAATTCTTAGAACGCGGGGGAATGGTTCGTTTCAGGGTGAAATAAACCAGAAAACGGTGTTAACGGGATATTTATCTTTCCGGCTGGATCGGTTAAACAATTACACCCGTTACGAGTACGCCAGACGGATTTGCGACACGCGATTAGGTTCACGAGCGGCCGCTAAACGAATCAGTGATTCAGGGACTGCCTAAAGTGGTCTTTAAGCTGATCAACGAGGCAGCCGAGGACCGCTGGAAATGGCCTTCACCGTCCGAAGGTTAAGATCTCTGATTTTCATTCGTTTGAGTGACGGGGGACGGGGAAAAGTAATTGAAAATATGAAATTGAGAAGAGGCGGCAATCGAGAAATCGTCGACGCGTTTATGCCGCTACGTCCGACACATTTATTTACACAAATATACAATGCGATCGGTGAGAACGCTCGGCAAATCAGCCTTGGACCTAACCGCGAACCAATTTGACGCTAGAACCATCAAACAAAATGACTGATTTCAATATTCTTCTTACTTTGCGACCACCGATGTTACGCGAATTGTAAATATCCAACATTATTTTCGAAATGAATGATTCTACTTAGGCGTAATGAATATCAGTAGGCACTCAGGATTATGTGTTTTTATAATTCTGAGAAGATAAACATACAACAGTCGTATCAAATGCCTGGTAATTCCAGCGTCAACTGATTCCTCGAGATTATCGAGTTCGGATCAATTACCCATGAATCATTAATCAAGATTTTCTATCGTAACGACCGATAGCTCATTTAATCTTGGCCATTTAAACGGAATCTCGGCAATTTTCATCGACAATAAAGCGTTCGAGATAATGCTTGCATTATGTTTATATCAGTTCTTTTATATCGTGCCGCGATGAACTTAATTGTTCTCGGGAGAAATTGAGATTTTTGAAAAATTTCAAAAATCCTCTGTTCGTAACGAGCAACTCTACTGTCTATCAACCACAGCGATATTCCTTTAACCCGTTAACTAGCTGATTTTACGATTACGAACGATCATGTAGACGTTTCAAGTGTTCAGAATCCCTCGTCGATTACAGCGAAAGCCAGCTCGCGATAAATTCCTCCTCAACGCAATCAGAAATTGCAGCAAATCTCCTCGAAAGCTACAATCATTTACAGCGATTCAAACTATCGTCGATTTCGCGAATTTTCATTCGACACTGTCAGCCTTCTTGAAACTGTTTACATTTCGAGGCCGGTAATTCTTGCAGAACGCTTCATCATGACCCACGCTAATGCACGTAACGACCTACAATTTACAAGTACACTTCATCGATACAAGACTTCCAAAGTCCTTCAGTTTTTCGGAACAACTGTAACGTATTTCGCAGAGCTTCCTAACCGAGATACAAATTCTGCGAAGCACCGTGATAACGTACTTCAATCGTTCCACGCCAAAAAGAAACAAAAATCGAATGTACAGTACGGTAAGACATCTCTTAACGCTACTCCAATTAGCGTTGCTTCGATATAACGCCGTTCTCTTCCAAGTCCCAAGCCAGCTGTAAATACTCCGTGACTCTACATAACGCGGTTGTTATTAGAAACTTGTCATTAGAATTCAGTCGATACAAAAGTAACTTAAACTTAAAGTACAGCCTAAGGTAAACGTACCAATAACAAACCTTGTACTAATATTAAGTAAATGCTAAACTTATATTAAATATTTATATTCGTATAACCTTAACGGGTTGGTTATTGGTACATTAGTATGTATATGTTAGGATGACCTCATTTCACGCTTTGTGTTCTGAGATCATACGTTGCCTGTTAATCGGAGTATTACTGTACTTCATACTAACGCGAACGAATCAAGATGCAACTTAACGGGAGAGCGATCCGTTGGATGGAAAAAGGAACATGCACAAAATCCGTTCGCAGATGAAGTCCCGTGTGAGACGAGGACCGGACTCGTCTACCCGGTTAACTGGACGAGATTCTTCGGCCCAAGCAGAGGAACGGGAGGAGAGAGATTGGAAATTCCTTCCTCGGACGGTGATAGCAAAGTCTCTTCTGCGTCACAGAATTCGTTCGAGGAAACGAACCACAGGTTCAGGATACCGATCGCGTATCCGTTCCTATTCTCACCCACTCCATCGTAATTCTGGGTCCACACTGTTGCGGAATAGTTGTTCATAAATAGCTGTTCAGGAACAGTTTACAAGCGAAAACAGCTTAGTCTATCGTACGTTGACGAAAAGTCGCCACTTGTGACATATGGACAAGAAAGTTCCTTCGATATGTCTCTTGTTCACATAATTTCGCTTTGCTAAAGGCGAAAACGAGAAAATGACTTTTCATCCTGACAAATTAGACCTGCTTTTTTGTGTCTCTGGCGTTAATACTTTTTATCGGAGTACTATACACTGGAGCTAACGAACAGCTCGCATGCAGATAATAAGCAGTTACGGTGATCGGAAAAAGCAAAGGTTAAAATACAATACCGGTTTCGGTTCTTGAAACAATACTCGTTTGCTATCCGTTCCACAGCCGTTATTTTTCTGTTCTAAGCCGACTACGTTTTCATTCTATATTGTGGCAATTGATTCAGGACCGAGGATAACAGTTGTAGAACGTAGAACCGATTCATAAATTTGGAACACTTGTTTGTGGAATCGTTTCAACCTCTGCTTCAGTCTTTCTACGGAACATTATTCGCTGTTCGATCAGTTCGTGAACTTTTCGCTAGTTTTCGATGCATTTACTTTTCGATGCATTTACTTCTAGATTTCATAGAACTTGCATCAACATCAGTTTGCCTCCATACTTCTTCTCAGTTCGTTGTCTGACGAACGTGACGAAATATGAACTCTATATTTCAACGCAACTGACTACACGAGATAAATACACCATAGATATGGTAACTAGTGGTCTGTGTGCCACTTCTCCTCTTTCGTTGCTTTGCTAAGTTACCTCCATGCTCACTAGGCTCTGACGATTCCAGTCGAATTCTATGTCTTCTAATCACTACATTCTCACATACTTGTATCAATTGACGCTATTACAGCTACGATATGAACCTAGTGGGTACTGTTTACGCGTCACCAGTTTCTTATCTATGAAATATATAATTCATACTCCGGCAGAATAAACGCAACGTATGAAACGCTCGTGTACAGTTGGGAGATGACTTGATGTCCAGTGGAACGGCACAAAGATAAGAGGTATCTCTCTAGTTTATAGTTCTATACTTTCGATTGGCTACGTGTAACCGTATTGACGAACAGCAAATTAATGATTGAAAGTGTCGGGAGTTTGAAAGTAAAACTAACAGAAAACTGGATAAGAAAAGATGAAAACTGATCGATCAGCTTCGTCATCCTTAGCCTAGTCATCAAGTGATCTTCCAACAGTTAGACGTAACCGTGTGCGTCCAGTTTGAGCGCAGTTTCATAGGATGGCAGGCCTTCGTCGGCGCCAGGTGTCTCTTGTTCCGGTGGGTCGTGTTCCGCGACGGGTCTCACGGGTGTAGACGTCGTCAGACCGAGGAGCGTGGACACCATCGCCGGGATGATGGTGCCGGGCGTGTCCGGCCCGTCCAACTTCTTCTCGATGCTTGCCGGCAGGCTACGATGATCGAAGATCAAGCTGTCGTAAGTTGGCGGTGGCCCTGGGCCCGAGCTAGGCGTCATCGGACACGATTGGCCGCCGTACACGCTGTCCTCGCGGTTCGCTTCCGTGGTTGATTGCCTCTCGCAACACTAAAAGCAGATGAGGTTCGATTATTTTCACCTATGAAAGGGACGGTTCTTTTCTTGAAAGAAAGCAAATAACGACAAACGCATCCCGTAAACCCAGTGTTGAGATTGGGATTGTAATTAGTAGAGATTGCGTGCTATTTCCTCGAGGTCTTCCCTTGATTTTTCGTGCTGACACGGACGAATATGGAAGAAAAGCAATACCCTAAGTTCATTTGACTAATCCTCAAGAGATAGTTTAAGTCCACCAATTAGGAGTACTAATTACGGGAAAAAATGACGCAGTTTGAAGCTTAGCTCACGTGAAATAAGATTACACTGCGAGACACGGTATGCAAGGAGTAGATACATAAAAGATAGTGGCTGAAGTCAGTGGAAGAAGTCAGGAATTCCAGAACGAGGCTAATAGTAGCTTGGCACTCGACCATTCACTTGCCGCTGGTCTAATGAGATCCCGGCGCAGGTGATAAATTCAATTATCCGAGGTCTAATCACGCGGCCGTTGCTCGCCGAGCGTCGTCCACCTAAATGCTGATGGTTCTCGAAGGAAATCTTGTTCGGAAGTTATTAAAGGAGGCAGTGGTAGCGCTATCGCTTCGAACTGAGGATATATAAGTGTGCCAGGTTCGAGTTAAGTGTGAAAGGGAGCCCCTTGATTAGGCGCGCCGATTTTCCCTACAACCGCAAATGATTTTACCGCAATTGATAGCGGCCCATGGAGAGTCGGTTGCCCGGTAAGTCGACGCGTTCCCGTGTGCCGCGAGCGCTTTACATTCGATACGGGGATGAACGGGTAGGTATTGATGTATGCTAGAAACGCTGGCAAACTGGTTTCGTCCACGTTCACGTTACACGTAATAACGCGCTTCCTTCTTGTCGGGCGGGAACACACAACTCCCATCCAGTTGCGTGTAAATTGTTCCCCGATCGTTTCCGAACGCTTCTATTCGATGAATTTTAATGGAGGCACGCGTGTCGGGTTTACGTTGATAGACGAGGAGATACAAGTTCAACATACAATTGTAGCTGCGAAGGTAACACGATCTCGAACGGGAAGAACGAAAGGACTTCTCTCGATTTTTAGCATCGTCTAGTTTGCACTCTGTTGCTGTCTGTAATGACAAGGACTCTACTTAACGGACAAGGATCGCACGAGATATTCTTCGAGCTGATCCTATCCTAGCAGCAACAGAATAATTTGATCGTAGGGGTCAACAAGCGCTAATTTACAGGTCTACTTCTTAGCATACGATGAGGTAACGCGCTCTAAGCTACTTCCACCTTAGTGTCTTCGAATGACTACATAGTTAAGAAAGTAAGGGAAACAATAAATTCTGCCTCGATTTCTATTAGTCTCTAATCCTTACGTAACTGACTGATCAGCATGAAACAGGCATAGGTCACATTTCCTAAAAGTTACAGAAAAACGTCAAAACAATCGTTGACTATAAATAGTGAAAAGGCAGCTTGTGTTTTTTTATGTTTGGGCCGTTAAACCGATTTTATAAATTTTCTCTGTATAAACTTCAAAAGTGCATCTGTTCGAATTTCGATTCACTTCTAATTCGGTTTCCATATTTTTAAGTTTAGTTTCTTTATTAATCTCTTAGAGAAGTATCTCTTATCTTTTCAACAACTCTGTTAAGCAACTTCAGAAATAGGCAATTTCGACCTGTCTGGTAGTTCTAGTGTTCATTGCTGAAGTTCTTTGTGCTTCTTACGTTTCTCTATAACTTTATGAAACGTAACGCAAGCCCATCAAATGGACACCCGTTTAATCATGTTTCCGAGCAACCGTGACTCACCGCGGCGTGCGCTTCCGTGGTGAAAACCTCCAGGCTGTGGACGTCCGGTTCCGTCCTCCAGTATTGCGGGTACTCCTGCGGCCGGTTCTTCCTGATGCTCTTATGACAGCAGTAGCACATCAACGCGACGACCATAATCACGCCGCCGAGCATCGCCCTGCGAAACAGACGGCGCGCCTTGCGATCCAGAGCATAGGTGAGAGACCGGGGCGTATATTTAGCGCGCGTCAACCGACCGCGAGGCCAACACCGTTCCACATAAGATTATTAAGCGTCGATCCGCCGGTGGTGTTTTAGGTCCATAAAGTCACGCGGCTTTCTTGCGGGAGGCGAACGGGAAGTTCGCGTGGCCGACCTTTCTTCGTTACCCCGTCCGTTGTTTCCGCGAGTTACCTAACCGATCGCGAACCGCTTTCGCATTCATCGGAAAATAGAAAAGTTTGCGAGATTTTCCTTCAATTTATAAATCGCGCGACGAGGAAGTGACACGGCAAACATTGGTGCAGAGAGATCTACGATCGACGAGCTGTCGAAAATAATATAATTCCGGAAGTTAATCGATTTTTAAAAGATCCTCTTTCTTTGCTGTTTTCGTAGTGGCGTTTAAGATACATCTTTCCTTGGCAGCGCTGAGTGTCGAGAGATTGAAGATATTTTGCAGCGTTTAAATTGAAAGTTAAGTTACTTTAAAGTTCGCAGCTAATGACTTGTAATACCGTCCTTCTTTCCTTCGCATTTTTCTTTCTTCGATAAAACGAGTACGAAGTAGTCGAAGGAGAATATAGATTCGAGATTTAAAAGGCTTGCCGCGTGAAATGCTCGTGTTATTTTTTCTTGAATGTTGTTTTTAATACCGCAGTCCCGAGAGAAACTTTCGCCGTCTACTTTGAACCCGCCAGCGCAGAGCTCGCCGGCACGAGATGCTACTCGGGGACGACAGAACGTGCCCACGGATCTGTAGTCTGTCCAGGTAATTGTTGCGTCTCGAAATTAGCATGGAGTCAGGCGAACCGGCGATTTGTAGTCGTTATTTATGGGTTCGCGTGTGTTAACGGCTTACGTTTACCGTAACACAGTTGTTCCTGCGATGACCGCGGTGACGAGCCCGCTTCCTGTAACGCTTTTCTTCCAACGGCGAACATTATCAGCGATCTCTCGAGTCTCGTGTAATGACTTAATTCAACAGCGTCTCAATTGAACAAACAACTGCTTCTCGATTCTCTCCGAGCCCGTGATTCCCAACGAGTGGCACACGCCCCACAGGAGGGCAAGTCGAATTTTAACGGGGATAATTTGAGAACGAATCACTGACACTGGGATTACCGAGCATTTACTGTGGTTCATATGTAATCATAAAGATTGTAATAAAATATTTTCTTTTGTTTCTTTGGAGATTTGCTATAGTATATAAGTGGAACTATTTGTTTTCAAAATGATTTTGGATATTGAGTACTTTTAAAATATTAATAATTAAAAAATAAGAAAACGAAAATCTGACATTTTGACCGGTACGGTAGTTCTAGTGTAGTGTATATACAAGGATCTGACTAACTTTGATGTACTTATCCTGAAATGAGCTCAAATTATATTCTGAATTCATTGGATAGCTTTATTCTATTGCATTGAAATAAAATCATAAAACTATCACAGAAATATTTCTGTTTAAATTATTTTACATTTCTGCATCTCAGTTTTCTAATACGTACTTTGAAATTTGATTCGCTGCTTTTTCATATCACTGTGTATTATTACCTTTTTAAACAATGTTATAGTGATTTCTTCCTCCGTACTTCAACTGCCCTTTCCTTCATTCATTTTTCTCTTTCGTGGACTTTAGAGATGTCTAGGTGGAGGAGGGCAAAAAAGAAGTTGAGAACTACTGCTCTAAATCTAATCTTTCAAGCATCGAATCTCCATAAAATTATCGGAATTCTTCGAATCCTTCGTGTCTTTTTTGTCGCTACATCATCGTGGACTCAGAAATCTTCTAACTGTAGAATCCGAACTATTTTCTGGATGCCCATCGGAGTATGCAGAATTTTTAATAGCCCGTGTAATCTTTGCGATTCCATTCTTTCCAATTACTCCGGAATCTATCGATGCTTCGCGCGTTTCATCCCGGAAATCCGGTTTTACTCGAAATTCTTACGAAACCCTCGGGATTTTCTAATGCCCCGCGAGTCTTCGCGAATCGATGCTCCTTAATTTTAAGTGTGGTCCACGGAATTTTCCATGGTTCCGCCGGAATCTCCGGAATTCCCCGTATTTTCTTCGGAATAATTAGAATTTCCCGAATCCCCGTGCGCGGCGGCAGCGAAAGGTAAGAGCGGTAACAAGCGCGAGTTTCTGTGCAGCGACTTGATGAACTGCCAACATTCCGCTTTATTTTCTTACATAATTTCGGCTTTCGAGCGTTGTCCGAGAGCTCTCGTCGGGCTCTCTCCGCACTGCCGAAACTCTGCTCGCGCACTGTGCTCGCCCAATAAAGAATTCGGAAAGTTTTGGAAGTTCGAGCTAAGTTTTGAGGAACGACGATATCGGGCTGATCGAACAGTTATGATATTGGCTTTGATCCCTGAAACAGTTATGGGAGCCGAAAAACTATTCATAACCATCAGTCGATTGTGACCTATATCGACTTCGGTTTTACAACTGTTGCTTCTCAGTTTTGTATCGATTTTTAATTTTCTATATTTTTATATTTCCGTATTTATGTACTGCTATTTTGCTATTTTGCTATTTTGCTATTTTGCTATTTTGCAATTTTGCTATATTGCTGTATTGCTGTATTGCTGTATTGCTGTACTGCTCTATATCTCTATATTTATACATCGCTACATCTCTAGATCTCCACATCTCCACATTCTATTTAACGCAACAATTGCCTATTCCAAATTGCTTATGGATTCGGTTCTACACCATAAAACCCGACCCAGAATGTAAAATAACAATACCAGAACACAAAACCGTTACACGATCCACATAAAATCGGTTAAAAAAAAACCCAAGTGGATACGATCCGAAACCGACGCACTTGTATCACTTACGAACATTTTTTCGGTTCTTCTAGCTGTCTTAGTCAGAATCAATGTACGACAGTGCGAAACACTTATTTCCGGGACCCCGTTATCGAGTTCAATCCCTGTTATCGAATCGCCGAATGCGACGACGCGTCGAACACGTTCTGCGAAAGAGAAAATGGCGATCGCCTCCGCGTTATCTTATCGTTTGTTTCGCGAGAAAGGTCATCCGAAGAAGTTCCGTGGAACGCGATCGAGAACAGAGAAACGAAAACCGATTCTGATGAGTTCGGAGCTTGACTAAACGTTTCGCAGAGGCTCGCGGCTCGCGATTCGCGATCGATATTCCCGGTATCGACCGCGATTTACGAGCATATCGCGGAAGTTTATGCATCCACGGCGCGCGTAAATCAGCGAAGCCCGAGCAGCCGCAGTCGAATCGAATGCAAACTCCGTTTTACTTCGTCGATCCGTCGGAATGATCGGCGACCGCCGCGAGGCTCGACTCGATTTTTACTCATTCGAATTCTTCCCCGTGGAAATGTAAATTCGCGATCGATGTTACGACCTTCGGCGGTCAGCTCTAAGTTTACGCATCCGTGTGAAAGTCCTCGAGACCCTTTGTAACGCGTCTATACCTATATACAACGTAGAATTCGACGAATTTTAAGACGGTCGCGATTGCTTTCGATCTGAACGGAATTTTCCTCGATCGTCGTTTCTACCCGCTGTTCCCCGGACAACGCGAATTCACACGCAATTCCGTTGTATAGTTATGATTACACTGCGGAAGCTTCCACGTTTATAGCGCCGATGATTCGAATAAACTTTATCGCTGTACAGTCGACCGCGAAAGTTCGCGGTACACGTGCCAAATTCGTGGCATTTGAAAGGAGAGCCGAGGAACCTTGTCGGTTTGACGCTCGTCGGTTGAGATTAGAGGATCGTATTTAATCGAGATCATGGTTTATTGGAACCTTTTTCATTTTGACTAATGAATAACTAATTGTCAAAAATGTACACAAGTCTCTTGCCATTTCGTTTCTATTGTTTGAAAGATCTTATGTTTGAAAAGTTTATACAGATTCTTGTGCTCGATCGAATTGTTTTAGAAAAGAATATTCTACTTAAGTTTCTCTTTAGAACGGGGTCATTAGTGATCGAACGATCGCGTGAAAATGTACAGTCTCGCGATAGCCACTCACCCGCCGAGAAAAATGTTAACGTTCCCATGCAAATCGGTCTCGAAGTTGCTCGTCTTGCTCGCCGTACCGCTCGACGTCGTGGTAACGTTGTATCCTGGTAAGATGGCCACGTCCTCGTCAACGTTGGTTGCATTCCGTTTGTGCGTGGCAGCGAGCTCCGCCGCGGTTAGCACCGTGATTGTTTTCCGGATCGTCATCCTGCAACTTTTCATCATTTTTCCCCGTAATCAACGTATCTCCGATCGATGTTGCATCTTTCGGCTTTCAACGGTTCGTCGTTTCTGTTCAACCGTGCTTCATTTGTTTCCGGAACAATCGGAAAGAAGAGAGGTGGGGGTTGAAAAGAAACGAATTGGACTGTTACCATTTTAAATTCGATACCCCAATCGAATATATACCGTTTTAAAATTGGAAGATACAGTAACTAGAAAGCAATCGTTCGATGTTGATGTTTGACAATCGAAGCACGAAAGAGTTCTGTACAATACCTCTATCAACCCTTTGCGACGGCAACTCATTTTACACGACTATACACGCTAATTCTGTTTTTCAATAATTTTGTATGGAGCGACGTAATTCAAAACAATGTGGAATATGTAATGCAACAAGACTATGAATACGTATAACACGTGTGCGGCACCTCAGTGCATGAGGTTGAAGGTCACGCATCGATGATTATTGGCCACGAAATGGTAATTAAATTATACCCGTAATTTTCGTTTACGCGAATATAATCGGAAGCTGCTTCACTTGAAACTTACCAGTTAGAAATACATAGCCCGATGAGTGACAGAATAATTTATGCCGGCAAAGGGTTGAAATGGTAGCTTCCGACGATGAACAGAACGAGGAAGGGGTAGCGAAATGTTTTTAGGACACGAGTGAGCCCGAAAGGGGGCGGACAGGGACCTTTTCCGCTCACCTTGCATTTTATCGATCACGTCCTTCGCACGGAAGTCACCCTTAATGCTCGTGCGAGCCACCCCTTACCTTTTCGCTCGTGGATTCACGTCCTGCGACGTTTCCAAACGTTGCGAGAAGCGAGCGACGCCGTGTTCCTTATATCGACGCTATCCACGATGCATCCCCGGCGAATTCGCATCGAGTTATTCGACATTCAATCCTCCTGGGTTCCCTCGCTCGGAACGCTCGTCGCTTTCGCATCCCTCTACCTGCGCAATTTGCAGTTTTTCCATTTACAAACCGTTCGCTGCCAAGGAAACGTTTTCGTGAAAAGAATTAACAACTGATACGACTGAATTCGAAGAGTTTCATTTTTTACGGTGAATTCAAATGTGCAATACTTTGTTCCCTGCCATCTTGAGTTTTTAACAGAATCAACCTTGAAAGAAGGTTCAAATTTTCAACTTTGGAATTGTGTTTCACTTATCGATGTTCATGAAACCTTTTTTTTTATAAAACGTTATTCTACGGACCCTCCGAAATATAGTAATAAATATTTTCCTAACGTAAAATGCCATCCGAAACGAACGAATATTTGTAGATATTTATCAATTTACTTTAACACCCGAACATCTCGGCGAAAATTTAATTCCAGCATTCAAATTTGTCTCTATCTTTCTTTTTAGAAATCCTCTAAACGCAGAAATAATTGGGATACTGTAATTAAACGAATTTATAATAAAATGTGGACCATTAGCGACGAACGAATTCCGCGAAAGAGAAATCCGCTCAGACGTTCCTTCGTTCGTGCCCGTTTCCCTGGCGTTCCTTCTCCTTTTTAG